AAGTCGTGTGATCTAAGTGGCATGAAGAATTTCAGAGCCTCATTTCATCAGTGACCTAGCATATTTCACCTGGAGAACGCATATTAAGCATTGATCAATCAAATGGGCATCTCAGTGGTCAGGGTGGTTTGCATTAAGAACTTCAATATGAAACAAAACTAAAACTGTTTCAAGATTTTGTCAGTGCTGTGAAATTTGATGTCACAGCAAAACTAACAATTTCTCTGAAGAACTATAGTGCAATGTTGAGGTTAGACTACAAATTCACAGGCATTGGTACAATCACTCAAAATATGTGCTTTCACAATGAAATTCTTTCCCTTATTCCCTTGTTCAGCATGTTCCGTAAATTACGCCTCACTCACAGTATTCCATGCTTATAAAATGTTACTTAATTGTTTTAGATTCTTTCATTAAATTCAATTTTAACTTGTTCTTGCAAAATGTATGAAGGCAAGTAAAATGCAAAAAACAACTGCAATGAATAAGAATACAGCTACTGAAGACACTGCAGTGTGCCCAGCTATGTGGATCTTTATTCTGTCTGTACTAAAAAACATACCTCAGTAGTACCAGGAGCTAAAAACCTTGTTTGAAGGTTTCACAAGAGATTAAGTGAAATTAAAGGCCACCTGTGTAATCTGTATTGTGGTTCCCAAAAATGTTTTCTAGATATGTGCCATCGCAGCTGAAGACTGTTAATTAAAAACATTTCAATAAAATAATATGTTATTATAAATGAATAGAATGAATTTACAGGATTGTAGGGATTGGAAATAACACTTTCCACCACATAGGTTTATGACCTCAATTGTCAGCAAAGACCTAGACAATACAAAAGTATTGCAGAAGACATCTGCACCATCTGTTAGTGAAGCTCTTCACAGTACAAATAAATAAATGACAGAGGTGATAATGAATCTTGTAACACCCCTGTGGAAATAACATTGAGACCTGGTGATGCAATATACTGTACATCATATTCACTCAGAAAATATGAAGGAACATTTTGGTGTGTAGTAGAATCCTACAAGAGCTGCAACAGGTAGCAACCAATTCAAAGAACTTCATAAATTGACCCTGGCTGTTATTACTTTGCCACATAGTACTGCATCAATACTGCAGAAGTAAAGTCTGTGTTCAATCAATTCAATGTGGAAAATAAGAATTGCTACTAACTGGGCTTGGGATTTTGAATTAGTAAAAGATCACATTTGTAAACAGCTTTTCAACTGATCCAGTAGCTTAGCTGGTAAACCACAGCTGATTAATGGATGGATATGCAGTTAAAAAGATTTTCTGTTTTCAAAAAACACTGTACAGCAAAAGAAAGTGTTTTTCATGACTTTAAAAACAAGTAAATATTAATTCTGAATCACCTGAAGAAGGCTCAGCAGGCAAAATACTGTGTTTCTTCTTTCTATTTTTCTAAGATAAATTAACGTTTACTTGTTCGTTTGCAGCTAACACACACTGACACAGCTCCCCACATACTTAATATACATATTATTGTCAATCTATATTTTGAACAGGTACATTGTAATTGAATATATGAAATTGTATGAAAGTTGGATGCCCCGTTAGGCAGATATGGCTTTAGGAAAGTAAAATATTTTAATAAATGAAAAATGCATTAATAAAATCATTGACAGTAATATTTATTTTTCAGTCAAGTGATACAAGAGAAACCTTTGTTTTGTCAGTGTTCCAAAATGAATCATAGGATTTATTTTAACCTTTGTTTTAAGGTCTGATAAAATAAAGCAATCTGAGCATTTTTTGGTGTATATAAAATAAGCTGAAAAGTGATTAATTAATTTAATAATAATTATAATAATTGCTTACACTTATATAG